AGTCCCAAAACATTCATGGCAATAGCTTGCAGGGGGTTGGGATCAATTTGCAGAGCGTGTGCCAAACACCTGCTTCTTTAACTGGAGATATCAAGGATCGAACCTGGGACCTGCTGCATGCAACATAGCTAGAGTTGCCAACACCAGCTTGGAAAATACCTGGAGATTTTGGGGGTGGAGCCCAAGGAGGGGGGTGTTTGGGGAGGGGAGGGATTTCAATGCCAAAGTCCACCTTCCAAAGCAGCCATTTCCCCCAGGTGATCTGTGTCACCTGGAGATTTGTTGTAATCCCAGAAGATCTCCAGCCACCCCCTGGAGGTTGACAACCCTAAATGTTGCAGCTCTCCTACTGCACCTGTAATGCCTGATACTTCCTGGCTTTCTCAGCACCCTGACTGATGCTGTGTGTTCAACGGCATATTTAGTAAAAGGGTGTAGTCCGTATTCCAGTCTGCTAAAATAACAAAATCAACCCAGTTAGTCAACCTAGTCAAATGATTCCTCTGTCTCTTCTTGATGTGGATGCATCAATGGCTGCCTGTTACATTACTGTCCCTAATTCTGCAGCCAAGAGCTCAAGCTCACTGCAATAAAGTGAACTCATGCCATAGCATGATTGCTTTTCTTTGGTCATTACCATAGGCTTGGTATCTTTACCCATAATAAAGCACACAGGTTGGGTCCAGAGCTCCCATGAGGGTTGCCAGTCTCAAGGTGCTGGCTGGAGATCACCCGGTATCGCAACTGATCCCCAGATGACAGAGATCAGTTCCACTGGAGAAAATGGCTGCTTTGGAGGGTGGACTTTATATGCCAATGAGGTCCCTCCTCTCCCCAAACCCCATCTTCCGCGGGCTCCAACCCAAAAAAATCTCCAGGTATTTCCCAACACAGAGTTGGCAACCCTAGTTCTCACCCTGTATCCTGTGTCATGTCCTGTATGAGCTGGGTGCAGCTCTCCTAAATTCCCTTGCGGGCGTTGCCCGATTCAGGCCATGACTGTGGCACAGTCAGAGGTCATTTCGGGGGGGAACGTGGGGGAACGCAGTTCCCCCGAGTGAGGTGCAGGGGGCGGGGCACATGATGAAGCCCCGCCCCCTGCTTCTGGCCGCCCCGCTTCCAGCCCTCATTCAGCCAGGAGGAGGCAGGAGAAGAAGGAGGGTAAGTTGCTTCCTCCCTGACTCTCCCCACCCCTGCCTGCCTGGGGCCAGGGAGGGCCTTGGTGGGGCTTCCTTGCACTCCCACCGGCCTTGCAGGTCCACCGCCGGGCCACTGATGTCAGGGGGTGTGGCATATGCTAATGAGTTATGCTAATGAGTTCCCCTAGCTCTTTTTCTACGAAATGACCCCTAGGCACAGTCTTCTCTTCAGTGTCATTTTCCTGATTTGAAGATCCCGGGAAAGGTGCCATATGGCCCACTGGGGAAACCCATGAGTGTACACATGCATTTGGTGTAGTGTATACCAAAGCTTTATGTCCATAGAAAATCTAGGTGTTGCCCTCTTCACACACAGAAGAAGAAACTGGATTTATACTCCACCCTTCACTCCCTGAAGGAGTCTCAGAGCGGCTTACAATCTCCTTTCCCTTCCCCTCCTCACAACAGACACCCTGTGAGGTAGGTGGGGCTGAGAGAGCGCTTTCGAGAACTTCTCGTGAGAGAACAGCTCTGAGAGAACTTGTGGCTGACCCAAGATCACCCCAGCAGTTGCATGTGGAGGAGTGGGGAATCAAACCCGGTTCTCCCAGATTAGAGTCCGTGCTCCTAACCACTACACCAAACTGGTGACCTTACATAGTTTTGTGGTTACCGTGTGTTCCCATTGGTGAGCTCCCAGTATGTGAAGTGGCAATGACTGAAAGGGGCTACAGTAAATGCAATATAAGAATTGTTCAGTGCTCATAGAAGGAAAATTGTTACACACGTACATCCATTTGTAAAGCAAATTCATTTTTTAAAAAGTGGGGACTCAGGGTAAATGTGGGGTTTAAATGGGACATTCAGGTGTGTGTGTGTGGGTGTGTGTGTGTGGGTGTTAAGTGCCATTAAGTCACTTCAGACTTATGGTTGACCCTATGAATTAACGACCTCCAAAATATTCTATTGTTAATAGCCTTGCTCGGGTCTTGCAAACTTGATTGAGTCAATTCATCTCATGTTGGGTCTCCCTCTTTGCTTGCTGCCTTCAACTTTTTCTAGCATGATGTCTCTTGCTGATGAGTCTTGTCTTCTCGGACATTCAGGTACATATGTGTTAAATGTAACGTACGAATTACTCAATGCACGTACAAAGAAAAATTGAGTGTACACTGTACACACAGGCCCCATTCACAAGTCATGTACAATCCACGTACAGTGTACAGTGCAGTTCACAATTTTTCTTTATACATGTATTGAGTCATTCTTATATTACATTCAACACATGCACAGTTTAATGTGTAACTGAAACCACACATTTTATTCATTCATTCAATTTATATCGCACTCCTTCCCCAGCCAAGTAGGGGTTCCTGATTTCATTTGTAAAGTGACCACGTATTGGCTCTTTCTTACAACCAGATGTCCATGCATAGATACGGGATGTATGTGCATTCACTGTAACATGGAAACAGAGTTAGATTGTGCGTGTGTTTATTCTAATGTGGACAGAGCTACAGCTTGTGTTGTTTTGGTCAGTCTTCATTAAAGGTGTTACATTGATTCTGGATTTTATTTTGGACTGCGCAGTACAGCTATCTGCAGCCTTTGTCATTTTGCTGGGGATTGTGTGAGGACGCTCAGAAATGAGTTTCATGCTTTTTGTGTTTTCGCCAGGCCCACAGCTCTCGCTGTGTGAAGTCATTGGCCTTGGATCTTTCCCTTTCCTTGTTTTTACCCTTCACTGAGCCCCTTGGCTCATATCTTCTTACAGCTGTTTTAAGAAATACCCTTAGAAATCATTTTCTTGCTCTTGCTTCAGTTGCTGCTTCTGAAATCAAAGGCACGTCAATCCGCTGTAACCTGCTTTTATCTCTGTGTTTGGCTTTGCTTAGATAAGTGACAGGGTTTCATTTTGAAGCCAAAATCGGCCACAGTCTGCCTCTTGACTAATGAGTCAATGTGGGAGTCTTTTGAACTGTTGCTGTAGGAGCCAAATTCTCAAAGGGTGAGGTAGGCCACTTGAGGAAGGTGTGGCGAGTGTGTAGGACAATCTCCACCTTGAGAATGGGATGGATAGCCGGCAATTACAGCCATCTCAAGAAGTGGAGTTGGGATACTATGCAGGGTGATAGTGTTGACAGGCCAATGGGGCTTAGTGCATTCACCCGTGAAACTCCTATTCGTTTCAATCAGATTTATAATGCAGTGTTCTCATAACAAACAGTAATGGTGTCCTTTTATCTTACGGGGCATGCACACTAAAGATTATATACAGGGTATTACAAGTTAAATAGTGCTATAGGCAGTTATTAGCATCTTCCTTTCTTTTTCTTTTTGTCCTGTAAACCTATGGTTTGAGGTGGTATCAGTGTGGGCCAGAAGAAGGAAGACCGTGACTATATGGAAGGTCTTGACCCCTTAGATCCACATGCGAACTGCTAAGCCAAAGCTCAAAATTTATAAAGCGGGTGACACATTCATTAGCCCTTTCCATGTTAGGATTGTGCATACTAGGGTTTCCAACCTCCAGGTGGTATCTGGAGATCTGCCGCTCTTGCAACTGATCTCTGGGTGGCAGGGATCAGGTCCCCTGGAGAAAATGGCCACTTTGGAAGGTGGACTCTGTGGCATTCTATCCCATTGAGGTCCCTCCCCTCTCCAAACCCCGCCCTCCTCAGGCTCTACCTGCAACATCTCCAGGTATTTCCCAACCCAGAGCTGGCAACCCTATACCTTTCTCCCTTTCTCACAATACAAGAACTCGTGGGCACTCCATGAAATTGCTGAGCGGTCGGGTTAGAACGGATAAAAGGAAGTACTTCTTCACCCAAAGAGTGATTAACACATGGAATTCACTGCCACAGGAAGTGGTGGCGGCTACAAGCATGGACAGCTTCAAAAGGGAATTAGATAAGCATATGGAGCAGAGGTCCATCAGTGGCTATTAGCCACAAGGTATAGATAGGGGCTCTGGGGCAAGTGATGCTCTGTCTTCTTGGTGCTTGGGGGGGGGTCAACAGTGGGAGGGCTTCTAATGTCCTGGCCCCACTGGTGGACCTCTTGATGGCACCTGGTATTTCTGGCCACTGTGTGATACAGGGTGTTTGGACTGGATGGGCCTTTGGCCTGATCCAACAGTAGTGTCTCTTATGTTCTTATGTACACATACTGGGAGCCTGTCAACAACATGTATCAGGAGTATGCACTGCCTGCAGTCCTCTAGTTATGCATGGTGGACATGTTTTTGAAAGAGGCAAGGGGTAGATTTTGCATGCACGGCTAGCTCAGTGATGGGGTTTTTAAGGAACCTTAGCTCTATTCCTTGGCAGAACAGCAAGGAGGAAAACAAACTCCCTGGAACTGAAATCTGTCATTCTGCTGGGGTTTTGCTGAACAGCCGGGAAGAAGGGTCAGGAACAAAACTGAGCTAACGGTCCAATTAAAAGTAGATTCCCTGTAGAAAAACTGGTTTTTCAGAGTTCTGGTTCATGTATATTGAAGCAAAGGCCCACATGTTGTCCCTGAGGCAACACAATGACAACATATAAACATATAGGGAGGATCTGTTTATGGTTGCTGGCCTCCAGGTACACGTGGACTGTAGCATCTGAAAAGGCTACAGTGCACATTGAAGGCCCGCACGTTGTCCCTTTCAGGCAACACAATGACAACATATAGGGAGGATCTGTTTGTGGTTGCTGGCCTCCAGGTACACGTGGACTGTAGCATCTGAAAAGGCTACAGTGCACATTCGGGCCACGCAGTTGACAGTCCATTGAAAGACCCAAGCAGTTAAGATTAATGGTGCTTCTTTCCTGTCGCGAGGGATAATGCCTGTTTTCTTGTTTGCACTTGTAGTGGATGCAAGAGTGAACGGCGTCCAGGATAATGTGGCTGTTTCTTCCCCAAAGACAATGGAGATCAGCTCCGTCTCCGAGGCCCCTGGAAATAATCTCGGGAAGGAAGCCAAGGCGGCCCCGCCAGCTGCCAAATCTCGTTTCGCCTTTGCATTTTCACGGCCCGTACCAGGACGTACCGAAGAGCTGGCAACAAATGCATCAGTCGCATCGGCCAGTCCAGAAGCAGCCCCAGCGAACAAAGCGACGAGTGAGACCCTGGATCTCCCTGATCCAGCTGCGCCAGAGGAAGCTTCCGATAAAACCCTAAGCGAAGCATCTCTCACTGAAATCGAACTCTCTGAACCAGCCACATCCGAGGCAGAGGATGCTGCTTCATCCAAGCCCAGAGAATTAACCTTTTTCGACAGACTGTTCAAATTGGACAAGGGGAAAGACAAGAACCAGACGCAAGCCCAGAGCCAAGGACAGGAGAAGGCAGAAGATCCTGGTGTGTCCATCACAGCAGAAGAAGCTTCAGGATTACAAAGTGCACCAGAGAATGCCCTGCCAGGAAAGGCAAGTATTTAAACAGAAATACCTGATTAGTTTCTTTTATTGAACCTGTAAACATTATTTACAGGGCAAGATAGCCTTGTATCATGCAGGTAGGTGCAATGGAGAGATGAAAGTTGCAGCTGGGATGTGGATGGTCTACAGCATGCAATGCCAGTTTGAGGCCTGTAAGGAAAATAGGGCATGCAAAGCAACGTTACCTGCCCTACAGTGTTTATTTAGTTAGTGGGTCTTTAAAATCCTGCTCTTCCTCCAAGGAGCCAAGGGCACGGCTCAGTGATCTCCTGCCCTCCATTTCATCCTCACAACAGCCCTGTGATGTAGGCAAGATGGAGAATGACTGGCTCAAATCTCATAGCTGGCCTTGGGTCTCCGGGGTCCTAATTATATACACTGTAACTGCTACACATCACTACCTTACCAAACTTTACCCCGGGTGTTAAAAAAAAGAGTTGTTCACCATTTGCCATAAAGAGGAACAAATTATTTTCAAAAGTTGCAAGCGAAAGGGATGTTTCATGGATGTGATGTTGGAGCTTTGGGTTTGGTATGCCAGGTACAGTTCAGGTGCTCCAAAATCGCAGGATCATTTCTGCTGGCTGTCAATATCTTGATTGTAGTGCTTCATATCTGCATAGAGTCGGGTTGGGATTAGTGGTAAAAGGGACTTCTGGTAAAGCCATGAGAACACTGAAGTGGCCCATCTCTGGTTTACATTTTTCTTGTCATTAGAGTTTATGCAGTAGGAAAAGGTAACTCCTGTGTTTATGTGTAGGTAGATTTTTTTTTAAAGGCAAGGAAGAGACTCAGGGATCATAACAAGATCCCTTTGGCCATTAAAGATGATTTTTTCCCCCCCTCTCCTAATGCACACACGCACTCTTTGCTTTTGTTTTTGGTTTGTCCATAGTGGACTTTGAGAAATCTGGTCTTGTTTGTGTTCCTGTTTGAAAACATTTAGCCAAATGCAAACCACAATTAAGAACAGAGACCTCCGACATAAGGGGAAGCCTATCTTTACAAGCATGAATTTCGGTTACCCCAAATGTCATATCCTAAAATATTTTTGTGATCCCTAAGTACAGTCTGTTGTCAAGCTGATTAAAGCATTTTCTGGTGGTTTGGTGTAAAGTGCAGTCCTCTTTGGTGGCAGGATCTGTGTGTGACTCTGCTGGTGGAAAGTGCCCTCAAATTACAGCCCCTTCATAGAGACCCCGTAGGGTTTTCAAGGCAAGAGACATTCAAAGGTGGTTTGCTATTGCCTGCCTCTGTGTAGCAGCCCTAGACTTCCTTCGTGACTTCCTATCAAAATATAAACCAGGGTTGACCGTGCTTAGCTTCCAGGATCTGATGAGATTGGGCTAGCCTGGGCCATCCAGGTCACAGTGTATGTGACTCTGCTGATTGGTAAATGTTCCTGCCAGTTATGTGCTGAGTAACTCTCTGCTTTCTCTTCCCCTCCATTTGGATTTTTTGAACTCTTAGCCAGACAGAGTAATGACCAGATCCAGCTGTTTCTGAATATTATCAATGGTGGTAACTTTCCACTTCAGATTAGTAAATAAATATGTCTGTGGGACTATAAATATATAAATATATATGAAAGGGACATATTCAGTTTAGCCCTTGACTGGTTAATGGCTAACTGTGTATCCCCATCCATTTCACAGCCGTATAGAAAGGCTGACTGGTTTGTCGCAATAGGCCAGGAAAACTAGAACTGTCTTCACCACATGCCACTGAATCTAGGGTGAAGGCAAAGAGAGAAGTCCCCAGTTGGGCTTCATGTTGTGCAGGACCCCAAGATAATAGAAAACATGCAGGAAGCATTACTGTTAATAATTACATACAATATCACGCCATGCAAACATGAAAAATATCTGGAGATGAACACTGATCACAGACAAGATAGTTCCACCTTTAATTCTATATACCAGCCACATTCAAGAAACTGAGCTGGAATTTTATCGTGTATCAAAAGACTACTTTTTGAAAGCAAAGTTTTTTTCTTCTGAACAACAGTGGTTCCTTTAAGAATTATTTAAACACCTATGGAGGCAGTTGAATATCTTCAATAGCCAATCATGCTAGCATCTGATGATACAGAACACCTCTATAAAAGTGATTTTTAAGAGCTCTACAAGAATCCAGTCATTGGTCTGCTGGACTCAAATCAGATGGATTTTTAACATCTATTTGGCTGAACAAGAGCTGCAAGCAATGTTCCCTCTAAGCCGTGGAGTCTTGTGAGAAAAAATCCTACTTTGTGAGCTACTGGCATTAAAGTTGTGAGCAAGCAATTCGGCTACTGCACAAATTAGTTTGCTCTGGAGCCATCCTTCCTGAGCCAAGACAAAAAATGTGTGAGCTGGAGGCTAAAAAACTGTGAGCTAGCTCACACTAACTCAGTTTAATGGGAACACTGGCTGCAAGTAAAAACATTCTTCTTGTTGGATCAGTCATAAGGCCTACTTTTTTGAAGAAGAGATCCTTAGAACGGAGATCATTACTGGATTCTCATCAAATGATGTACAACCAGCTTGCCTCCCACCATTTCGTAAGTCACAGTGACCTGTTGCAGAAACCAGAAGCAATTCCCGACGCTGTCTAACGGGTGCAACAGTAATTGTCAATACCATCTCTCGAGTTGTCAGTCAGTACTTGACTGGTTCAGCCAGAAAAACCATGTTCTGGCAGGCAACCAGTATTGTGGTATGAAAAACCAATCGTCTGTCTTCCTCTTGTCTGGCTTCACCAACATGACCCAACAGATTCCACCCGTAACCTGTCTATTAGGTCTGGTACTGTCTGCCTCAGCTAACACTATTCGTTAGCTCCTTCCCCAAACCAGCATTTTTTAATTAAAATTTAGCAACCCTACCCATGCCTCATTGTTAGAAGGTTCAAGGGCTAACCTTGTAGACCAGTAGTCTGAGTCAGTCTACCACACAGTGATACCTTCCTTGGCTTTCTGCTTCTGAAGTGCTAGGTGCTATTAACAGAGCCGTTGCTTGATTAAAGAAATGTTATCCAATTCATTGTATAAGACTGAACCGAGTAAATCTATGCCAGTTCGTACAATGTGAACAAAACTCTAGTACTCAGGGGGAAGGAGGCATCCTTTCTTTGTTTCAGATGTGGCACACTGGTCACATGACAGATGTCACCTCAGAAGAGGCATTCCCTCTTGTCTATAGGAATGCCTCTTCTGAGAAGATGCTTGGAGGAGTAAGCATTTAAAACACTTTGTTTAAAAGAGTCTGCTGAAAGTGTGACTGAGAACTGCTTTTGAATCAAAAGATTTTTAAATTGAATGAACTAAGCGATGAATGACCTAGTTGTGGTAGCCCCTAAAATGGAAGTGTCATTTTCCTCAGCCATCAGCTACAGCTCTTCCTCCTCTTCATGGTGCAAAGACCCTTCCAAACCCTCTGGTTTCCAGAAACTACTTCTGTCTGAATTCAATTCCTCGAAAACCATAGCTCTGAGCCACCTTGGGGCCCCCAGTGGATGCTTTTTTAAGGATCAAATAACTTATCTGGAATTCCAGTCAAGACACTCCAGTGTCATGAGTAGTTTGATTCTGAATTGTGCCTTGTCTGTTTAAAAACAAAACAAAACAACTTGTAATAATTCCTTACCCAGTGACATTGGTTTTATCCTGAAAAATAAATGTACCGATTTAGATTAAATGCCATGAGGGTAAGGCAGTCAGTTTCCTATAAAACTGGTTTCTTTCCCTGACCAATGGCAGACAGCCTAATTTCTGATTATATGGGTGATATCTTTATACTGGGAGGCTAAATATTTGATATAATCATAATTCTCCAGATCTTTACTCCAGGCACACATCACTCTTTCAGGAAGCCGTGACGGATAGCTTCTGTGGGACTTGAATCACATCAAAGCTTCCCCCCCCCCATGTTACAATTCCAACAAACAACAAGTAAAGCTGAGAGAGAGAAAGAGAGACGCCTCCATTTTCAATTTTGGTCCAGGAAGGACACAGGCAATTCTGTGTTTGGTGAACCACGGCCTTATTTCCAAGTCCCACAAAACTACATTCAGGAAGCTGCATAATTAAAACAAGAGCCGGATTCATGAATCGATGAGGCATTTACTATTCAAGCCAAGGTAAATGATGTGCCTGAAACGTTTCACTGACTGAGTTGTGCTTCCCCATGAACAAAGAAGTCTTGGCAGGAATACGTTCTTTTCATATGGGCCCCTCCTCCACCTGCATGCCTCAAAATGGCAGAGTTAATACTGACCCCTATGGATTTTAGAAGCAGTTCCCTCACTGAGTGACATTTCTTCTTTTAGTGTTATGGATTTCTTTCATTTTTTTTCTTTTTAAAAAAGTATCATTATACAACAAATTATGATTTCTTAAATTGATTTAGGTATTTATACCCATTTTTCTCCCAAATGGGGACCCGAAGCAGCTTACAACTTCATTCTCCTGTCCTCCATTTTATCCTCATAACAACCACCATGTGAGGTAGGTTAGGCTGAGGTAGGGATGCAAGGTCTCCCAGTATGGTGAGAGACTTCCTAACAAGCCTCCCTGTTGCAGGCCAGTACCTCAGAGGCTAGTGGGGGAGAAAATGGGCTGGGTGTGCCCAGTGTATGATGTAGGGTTGCCAAATGGGCCCGGGGGGCAAGGAATCCCCCGCTTCGGAGGCCCAATTTCCACCGCGGTGGAATCGGCCCCCGGGGGGAACTCCGCCCCCGAAGCTGCGTCACCAGAGGTGACGCAGCCACATCACTCACGTTGGGGGCGTGGCCCACATCGTTGGGGGAGAAACCATATGTTTTTCCCCCCGACGATGTGGGCCACGCCCCCAACATGAGCACGCAGCACGTCACTTCCTGTGACGTGCTGCCGGCACACATGCACGCGTCCAGCACGAACTCCCAGACCCCCACTCCGAGGGGTGAGTCGACTTGGCAACCCTAGTATGATGTCACTTCCAGCAAAAACTGGAAATGATGTCATGACA